TCATCCGAGTAAGCGTTGGTGACCTTTCTCTTACCGATATAGTGCTTCATTGCCTGCACCACTTCGTCACTATTGCTTGCTTTCAATGGATAACCCCATATCACACCAGTGAACCGATCTCGAATCACCAATATGTCCTTATCCGGCATGATCCCATCTCTCGCCATCTTCTGAGTGTTCATGAGATCGAAAGTGATAAGGTCACCGAATGCCTTCAATTTCCGTTTGAAAGCTCCCTTGCTAGTCTTGTAGTGCTTCATCTTTGCTCTCACACATGACTTGCAGTATGGGTTCTTGTATCGGTGCGTCATCAAGTGCAATATAGATTTCGCCTCGTTCTTCAGCACTCCTGGTTTTGATAGTCTGGTTTCCCCGTCAACCACATCGACTTCCAATAGTCCTTCTTCATCTTCATCAATGTCACTCTCCCCTCGTTCAGAATCCGCATCACCTCCATGTTCGTCGCCTCCGGCTTCTTCAGGTTGACCTTCGTGATCACGATCGAATCTCGGGTCTTCCCCGACATATTCCTCTTCAGGAGAATACCTGTCATCACCGTCTTCCTCTGGTTCTCCTTCGACGCCTGCAACAGCTGGATTGATATCAGATTCACCATCCTGACCTCTCTGGTTATCTTTCTTCTTTCTCCTCCGTCTCCGTGGTTTCTTGGGCGGAAGTTCCTCTTGTTGTGTCTCCTGACCTGTTGTGACCTCGTCTTCATGCCCCACACCTGACAGTATGCGATGAAGTATCGTAGCCAAGCCGTCTGGTCTTGGTAAACATCTCCCGTCATCATCATTCACCTTGATGTAGGGTATGTTGTCATGCACCGATAGCGGAATCTTGTTCGCGTTCTGGTCGATGAGGTATGGCAATTGATTTGCCGGCCATATGAATGAGTACCCTTGTTCCATGCATCGTTTCCCGATGGAAAAGACTGATGGTGTGCTTTCCAACACGTGTGCCTCGGACTTCATGGGTAGTTCGTCCACATTGATGTCCACCATCTCTGATGTACTAGTTACACCATTCGCTGTCATGAAGCTCACGGATTTGGGTCCTTCCTTGGTGGTAAGGCCCATGGCATTGACTTTCTCTCTTGAGATCAAATCGTGTCCACATCCTGTGTCCATGATGAAGCGTATTGGTGGTCCATCATACCTCTCCACAGCCATGAACATCGTGGTTCCTGGTATCGTGTAGTCGACAAAATCCTTCCTTACTACCTCTCTGGTGTTGAAATCAGACAGGTCGACGTTCACCTCGATTCCTTCATCTTGAGTGATTTGTATCCATGCCTTGGCAATGTGTTCAGCATAGAATAGCTCCATCATCTTACCTTTGTACTCGTGCAGCTATGTTGCTCACTCTGAGGGCTCTCAACGACGAAATGAGCTCGGTATCCACCTTCTGCACCTCATTCTTCTTCTTCTTGGAGGGACGGTTGTTTAGCTCGTTACCAGGATCGCAGGTGAACGTGGTCACATTCGCCTGGTCATCGAATCTGACTTTAAAGCGAAGCGCCAGCTTACCTTGTTGTACGTTGGGAAGTGCGGGTTGTACGTCCTCGTCATCACTCTCGATGTCTCCGCAAAGCATGAAGGCTGGCGCAGCCGGTTTGGGCTTGGCTTTGCCTCTAGCCTCTTGTTTTGTAGCAGGAGCAGCGTGATGCTGACGTTGACATTTGTCCCCGAACTTGCACGATCCTTTCTGCCAATTCCAACAGATCTGATCCTTCACTGGCCTAGGGCTACTGCTCCTGCCACCGGGACTCTTTGATCTGTCACCCTTGAGGTTTTCTGGTTTCTTAGCAGAACTCTTGTGCTTCTCTTGGTGACTAAACTTGCATTTGTCTCCTCTAGAACATCCGTTTTTCCCATGGAAGTGGAAAGCGCATCCTATCTTAGACGTATCTGCTGGAGTCGCTGACCTGCCACGATCCCCTTTTGGGCTCTTCGTGGCTGATCTTCCACGATCCTGCTTCTTGTCCTTCTTGTTGTGGTCCTTCGGATTAGCCTGAGGAAGCACTGGAGCGGCGTCATGTTTCGGTGGATCGGTCTTGGTATTCTTGGGTTTCGCTTTAGGTTCCTTCTTCTCCGCCGCTGGTGTGGCTTTCACGATGTTCCCAAAAGCTTTCTCCCTTTCTCTCTTGTTTGTGGTCTCAATTGATTTCCGTATCCACTTCGTCATGATCTCTCGTAACTTCTGGTAGGTCTTATCCGGATCCTTATCCAACATGTTGTCGTACACAGACAAGTCTAACGCCATAACTTTGGAATCCTTAATCTTATCCCAAAGCAGGTTGCGAAGTGCTTTGTCAGGAAGCATGTCATCCGCATCCATACCTGATATGATCTCATCCCACTGTCCAAGGAATCTGGATAGTTGATTATCCCCAGGGAACTTTAGATCGAATAAGTGCTTGGATGCATACATCACATCAACGTTGTCGGCACTCCGGAAACTATCGACGATCAACGCTAACATTTCTCGTCCCTTGACCATTCCAGGAGTTGTGCCTCTCGCACGTCTCTGCATCATCTGCCTCACCTTCAGTTGTACGTCATGAGATCTCTCACCTGCTGCGTGGATGATCGTATGTAGGGTGATACCTAGCTTAGCGTCTATGCTAGCGAATCTTGCTTCGCCTGATGTCTCGAGTAGAAATGGGTCATATGGTGATCTGAAGGCATCCGAGAGCCATTGGATCCAGTCTTCTTGTTTCTCGTCGCCCGATGCCGTCACGACTGCCGCTACAACCTGGGATTTCCAAACCTCCAGGTCGTGTATCTTGGGCCATGCAGGGATGTTGATCTTCTCGTGTTCCTTCCGAGATATCTTGGAGCCGCCTGAGCTAGAGGATGAAGCGGCACCATGTTCGGTTGCGGCTGCGCTCTCTGCACTTGTGCGCTCCTCTTCGTACCTCTTCCGGTACTTATTCCTCTCATCTCTGAGCCGTGATGCATGCGCTTCGAATTCCATCATGTCCTGTTGGTTCTGCATCATACCTTCGTAGTACTCAATTGCCTCTTTCTCCTCGGACCTTAATAACTTTTCAGTACGTTCAAGTTCCGCTCTAAGCTTGGCCATCATCTCATTCTCCACACTGGGTTCTGATCCCATGTCTGGTGGTTTCAACTTCAGTGCGACCTTCAATTGTGCTTCACTTGCGCTTGATTCGATCAATTCTTCCTGGAGACGTTTCAGCATCCTCTCTTTACGTAGAATGTCCTCTTCCAACATGTTCACCTTGGCTTCGGCCTTCTTGAGTTCGGCGCTAGATGGTTGAAACGATCGATCGGATCCTTGAATCCTCGTCTGAGTCAACTCCTCGTTCGCCTTCTTCAATTGCTCTCTGATGCTCAAGATGAACTTATCCTGAGTATTAGATCGGTTGTTGAGCTCCTCATTCTCTTCTGATAACCATTTGATCTGGTTTGCATACATTGCTTCCCTCATCTTCATCTCTTCAGCATATTCGTGTTTGTTTCTGGCACTCTGCCTTTGTAGTCCAACTAACTCCTGTCTACACAGATCCTTGACGTTCTCAGCATCTGCGATTGTAGTCATGATCTCGGTTACGGCTCGATCTCTTTCCGCCGATATAGCCTGGATCTCTTCCGTGCCGATGTTCACAACTTGACTAACCATCTCTGCGCTGTTGCGATCAGCGTACTCCCCTAACTGGGTGAGACGATCCCGCATTGCCACACGATCAGTGTCCATCTGGTATTGCAGGTCGTGTGCTGCTGAGAGCAAACAGTCTCTGGATTCTGTAAGTTGGGAGATTCTTCGTTGATTTCCATATCCTTCGACATAACATTCTTCGAGGTGTGCCATCACTACTTCGTGGACTTCGGTCTCGTGTTGTATAATCTGGTTCTCTCTCTGCTCACATTCGACCATCCATGCGTTTTGGTGGTTCAACATATGCACTTCGGCAAGTAGTTGCGCACACTTCGCATTCAGGTCTCCATCGGCCCGCGCTAGTTGTAGGTTGTCAGTGCTTGCCCTTGCTCGATCTCCAGCTTCGCTGTCCGACGGCACTGGTACAGCTGACCCATCCTCCAATGCTAACACTCTCACAGCTCCGGTGTCAGTCCTCCTCCTTGTCTCCCTAGGGCTACGGCCTGATCTCGGTGTCCCCCACGCTGGTGTCGAGTGCGCTGACGGGGAACGACTTCGTGCTCTACCTGTCGCATCTTCTCTCACCGCTGTCAGAGTCTCCGCTTCGATCGTACCTGGACTAGAGTTGTGGGATGCACTCATCCGATCTGCGGCCGCAGCAGCTGCTCCAAAAGATGCAGTGCTGGCGTCGGATTGGTCCATCTTCAGTGACTGAGGGTAACTGATCTATCCGATGCGTGTGCGTTTAGATGGTGTTGTGTAAGGCCGCAGCTCGTACCCAGCTCAAAGGAGTCTGGATACGGCTGATAACCTGTGAACGGATGGAAAGGTGTGCCCTGGCCCCGTTCTAGCTCTTAGGTCAACATGAAGCTCGCGCGCTAAAGCTCCTTTTTACCTGGTTGGGCACTTGAGCCAAAAGTATATGGCATGTACCTGTATAGCGACTATACTGGGACCCCATCCCTATTGACAAGAACTGTCCATTGGTTCATATATTCCCTCCATTGGTTCATATATTACCCTTTTGAGGTGGAGGGTTAAGTAGGAAAACCAAGTCCAAAAGGTTATCCACTGACAGCCATGCAAAAAGTGCTTGCTTGCTAAAGGGACCTACGTAGCTTCTATGGCTATCACGCATGGAAATGGGCCGTTTGGCAATGTTTGGTGAATGTTTCTCCCCCTTGCTCAGAGATCTATGGAGATCCCTGAAGCGCAAGGATAAACATAACAACTGGATGCCAAGTGGCCAGAAGCTACGGACAAAACTCCCTCTGCTTAAAGCACACAACAAAGTATGGTCAAGAGACGTATGCCGTATACATCCACCTCATGTGTCACAGGTCGTCAAAAATCAATCAACAAGGTTTGGCGTCAAATCAGTCTGGCCATGAAAGATCAGCAGGCGATGCTTGTACATGTCCGCTTTGATCTGCTCGAGGGCATCTGGATTTTCCAGGGCTTCCTGGAGAGAAAGAGGGCTGACACCTTTCTTGCGACCACCTAGCTGTTCTTTTTTGCGCTAGGGCACGTAGAAACCAAAAACCAACAACTCCCCACCTTGCAAAACAACAACACACCTCTCAAATACACCCCCAAAAAGGCTATGGGAAATCCGAAGCCGATCCTATGAACCCATGAAAAATTGGCAGGTTCTGCATCTCCACCGCAGTAGTTCTGCACCAAACGGCTCGAGGGTCAACAGCCACTCCTTGACGCTAAAGCCGCGCACAGAGGCGCCAAAGGAGCAGCCTTCCCTTGGAGTGACGTCGTAGAAGGCCAAGCGGACCACCTGGGTCGTGGAAAATGTGGCCCGTGGCTCTTGGGTGGATGTGAGATGGTCGACAAAGCAAATTCCAAACCCTTGGGTTAAGTCATAATATGCATTTAAGATGTTTGGAGCAAACATAGTTTTGTAGTTTGGTTTGCTGCAGTGTTTGCAAATGCTTGCGGAAGTGCCTGTATTGTTTGTTTACTAATTATAAACCATACAATTAAAAGCCACAGTCTGCCAAACCCGACAAGCCGACAAGCCGACAAAAACAGAAGCGGGCGGCTTTTCGTAAAGGATCCCCACCTGTGTTCTCTCTGCTCTTCTCTTCCGCCTGCCAGCTGCGCACCCCAGTGTCAGCGCGGAAGCAGACCACGCACTGCACGCCACCTGCCACGGCCAGGCCTTTGGCGTCGGGGCGACGGCCCTGCGCGCAGCATGGACAACTCCAAATCGCGCTGCAGGCGCAGGCGCGCTGGCCGCGCTGGTGTGCTGGGCTGCAAAGGGGGCGCCCCCACAGGCGACGAACATGGGAAAATCGTGGGAAATCCCGAAGATCAAAGTCAGAAGCTCCACTGTGGAAGGTCCCCCGAGTCACGGACTCTCTTTGATTGCTGTTCGGTTCTGTGACATACTGACATACTGGTATACCAATCCCGTTGAATGGGAGTACACCAACAGCTTCGTCAGTGTTGTGCTATCTGGGTGCCTCTCTATAGATGTTCAGTCTGCGTAGAATTCCATGCCTGGTGGACTGGAACAGTGTACATCTGTGTGATATTATTCTGCTGCATGTCTACTCTGCTTGCTCTGCTCTTGAGATTTCACCCTGCCAAGCGCGAAACTGGCGCTCCGTGTCTTCCCCAATCCAACAGGTAAGACAAAGGCGCCCAAGGTCGAGCAGCACACATCGATCTTTTGTGGTTTCAGAGAAGGTTGCACTTGGGTCTATCCTATTACCAGTAACAGTGGATGATGATGGTTAGGTTGCGGGCCTTGTTCAAAAATAGTGATTTGATTGTTTACTGGCTGTTACAGGCAATAGGACAGACCCAAGATGGCACCATGGATCCCCATCAAAAGCACATCATGTGGGAAACGCGCCATCTACTCTGAAACCACAGTGTGACTCCCTGCAGCAACTTCTCGCAAGAATTGTTTTGGCCCCTCCTCCCTAGCCATCGACCGGCACACGAACATGTACCAGAATTATATAGACTCATTTAGACTCCAACTCAAGTGGGCTCTGGATGACACATTATGTGTGACGAAAAAACATTTCCCTACGGACTCTATTCTGTTACATAAAGAGAAGCAAGCCCTCAAGATCCCTCAAGGCAAATGCAGCAACTTGAGGTTCGCAGTTCCCCCAACGATGTGAAAAATGCGAGAATGGAACACAAATACAAAACACCTATGTCTATGTCCCACTGCACTTTCCGATACAATTCTGTGCCCACAATGCCCTGTTCAGGTTCAACCAAGTCGACAGGACGTGACTGGACGTCGTGCACTTGTGCCCACACCAGAGCGTTAAGTTCGCTTGTGCAAACTGAGCGTCAAGTTCGCTTCCCATCCAGGCCAAGTGGACCAATAGCAAAGGGACAAGCAAAAGTCTTGCAAAATGTAGCCTCAGTCTCCGTGCTGCATGCGAGAACTCATGCTCCATCCTCATCTTTCTGGTACAACGGATCAGGTAAAAGCAGAACATATAGAGTACATACTGTACAAAATATCATGTCCATTGCATATCATTGGGTTGACCCAAGCACATGCATCCTGACAAACAGGAGCGTTTCTATCAAACAATGATACAAGTACCACTGAAACTGAAAAACAAAAACACCCACCAGTCCTCACAGCCCCACGAATTGTTTCTTAATCCACGCAACTTGCAGTAGAGCCCCCGTCAGATACCGTAACCGTCACCTCCTGGGATGCCATGTTGACCTGCTGAAACTGCCCAGGCTTTCCTGTCCCCTAGGGCTCCCGTCCCCAACTTCTGAGAAGATGGTTGGGGTGGGTTTTGGGGGTCTAACCACCTTCTGAGGATATGGTTGGAGCCCTAGAGGTCTTAAGATCTCATGGTCAACCCAGCAGTTCTCTCGTCCCATCTTCTGAGCAGCCAATGAAGACTTGGCAACAAAGTTCACTCAGCGGGGAAGCCTGGCGGCCAGAGTTCGGTCCTGGCGTTCACTGAACTCACACCCTTACAATTGGAATATCGTGGTTTTTGGTCACGGTTTCCAAGACATGATTTCGTGGGCATCTACTTTTATTATAGATTTGAGGATACAACAACAACAACAACAACAACAACAACAACAAAGTGTCCTACAAAGCACAGGTTTGTAACAAAGTGGCCCGAAGAGTCCCATGGCTTCCGTTCGAAGCAGTCGCTCCAACGAGACGAGAAGAAACGAGACAAGAACCGTTCCGAAGGGCTTTTGGACCGAAGATTCCATGTTCAACATGCACTTCCAGGTTATATAACTTGTGCTTGTCTTGACGCACCTGGCAGCTGTTTTAGCACCTGTTCTGTTTGAAAGATTGAACCATGCACGTCACCAACCCATCATGTGTTGATCGATCAGGACCGAAAACGTTCTTAAACTACCAAGCCTTCCTGTGATGCCAACTCACCTGTTTTGGGAAACTGTCCCTCTACAATATTGACAGAGAACCCTGATGCTCGTCACATCTTGGCAACAAAAAAGGGTTTCCTAGATTGAAAAAAAACATGCTCATTAGTCTCCAAGGCCCAGATCTCGGATCCAAGATATCCAAGTCCCAAACCAAAAAAGGACATGAATGAAGGAAAGAGAGATCTAAAGACTCAAGAAACCCTTAAAGAAACTAGATACCACAACGACCCCCCTTCCATCCAAATGACATGCCCGCCTTCCTTCCCTATATCCCCCAAAATAACACCAATTGACTGTTGACTTCCGGGTCTTCTTTATCTTCTTTGGAACACCACTGGAAACACCGCGCGGGTTGTCGCTGCGGGTGGTCGTTCCTGTCGCTTGGCCGCGCCTGAAAGAAGTTGGTGCTGCTCATGAGCTCCGGGCTGTCGTAGAGGGCCATGACCTGATGCGAATGCCTTTTGACCTGCCCTCAATCCTGCAAGTCTGACCGGAACCTGGAACCCCCATGGAACCCCCACGTCGGGTTGGTCTTTGCGGGCGATGGAAAGCACTACAAATTCCTGGCCAAGCCCATTGGATGTCATGGGTTTTCCTCAAGAAAAATCCATTCCTTCGGAGGAAGTCAACCTTTCAATGTCAAGCTTTCGTTTCATGGTCCTTAAAGGCTAGGGCCAAGGGCTAAGGCGGCTAAGGGTTTGTTTCTGTTCAAATTCCATCCAGTCTCCTTTTTGAGGAGTGAACGTAGTCTCTTGACATTGGAAGCCATCGGCAAAAAAAACGTGGTAACATGCCGCCACACAGCCGTGCTTTTGGGACATGTCTACAGAAACATGTGTTCCTGTTAGTTTGGAATGGTTGGAATGGTATATATATATATATATAGAAACAATTCCACAGGCAAAACTACCGCAAGAACATGAGCGACCAAGTGACGCACAAGACCACGATCAAAACGGCGTGAAGCACGCCTCACAAGCCGCCAAAAGGCGTGGCGTTTCTCGTCGCATGAAATGACATGGGGTGATTGACATGTCTGACGATGGATGTCGCTCGTTGGCCGAATTTGGCCGATGCGTCGCTTGGAAGGATTGCGGATCCCCAAGAAGAAAGCATCGTTGACCCTGAGAACCGCCCTTCTAACTCCTGCACATGCCAAAGACCTTAGCCATGGCTAAGCCTTATCCAGCGGGTTGGGAAACTCCCTGTAGCTCCGAATGCCTCCTTGTTTAAGGGGGGGCATATGGACACCCCTGGCTCCCTAGCTCCCGAGCACGAGCACCAGCTAGTTGTATTAATCACCATATGGGAATTGAGCCAAGAGTCTTGAAGGGGTATACTCTTAGCTGTTGTCGCTCAGGGTGGCGTGGCGAGAGAGACAACACAGCACCGCGGTTCTCATAGACGTGCAATAGAGACCCCCAAAAGACTCATGAAAAGGATTGAAAAGAGACATTCTGCGAAAATCGCTGGAGGGATTTCCTGATTTCCTATGCACACCGCAATGGATGAAGAAACCTTCTATTCCCACAACAAATGCAGGACAAAGGCGTTTACCGTCTCGACTCCCAGAAAAGATGTATGATGATATTACGATGATATAAATCCCTAGGGATCCACATACCTTCTCAGAAGGTACTTGGGCCCTCCAAGCCTACATAAATAGTCTCCAATCACCTTCTGACAAGGTACTTGGATCCCTAAGGTATATATATATATACAGTATTCACAGTATATCGTTTGTACAGTATACGTCATAGTCATCATCCATTTTTGATGAGGAATAATCATCCAACTCTCACGCCATCTATATGTTGGGTGTAAAGCACTCTTTCTGTATGAGTTTCTGCAAGTCTTGCAGCAGGCCACATCAAAGAACAAACCCACATGAATTCACGCTAACAGCGGCTAACACAATGGCAACATCCTGGCAAAACCAGCATGGAACCTAGACACAACAGACTAACAAAGTCAAGTGCTCTTTTAACTTTTCTAGGGGCGTGCTGTTACAAATGGGGAATTGTAAAACATCATCATACGTTCCCAGGTCTTTGTGACCATGAACTGGAAGTGCTGTGGACTTAGGCGCCCCGGTACGCAAAACGCAAAACGTAAGGTTCCGCACGTGTAATCCAAAACGTGCAGCCCCCCTCCCAAAATCCAGGCCCCATCCAAATACCTATATGCATTTACTGTCCTCGGGTAAATGCATCTGTGTGGTCTGGAGGTCCACTTTGCGGAAATATGTTCGTCTTTCAATACAGAAGCTATGGGCTACTGCTGGACGCTTTTCTCTCACTCTTGGAAATGCATTTGGGAATTGATTGTGTCCAAGCTATAGGGCTATGGGGTGCTACTGGATGCATTTCTCTGGTTTTTGAAAATGCATTTGGGATGTTTCTGTGTTCCATGGCCTTGTTCTGTTTATGCATGAGGAAGTTCCAAAAACGCATCTGAGCTCCAAAACGTGGGAACATACGGCTGGAAACGTGAGTTTTGAAAACGCAAGGTTCGATCGCACAAAACGTAAGTAACCAGGCAGCTAAGGCTGTGGAGCTTGGGTGGGTTAGAGCCGGATTCGGAAACTAATCGGTCGGATTCTGAAACTAGGGTTCTGAAACTGGGGTTCTGAAACTTGGGTTCTGAAACTTGGATTCTGAAACTGGTATTCTGAAACTGGTGTTCTGAAACTAGGATTCTGAAACTGGGGTTCTGAAACTAGGATTCTGAAGCTGGGATTCTGAAACTTGTATTCTGAAACTGGAAAGGATTCTGCAACTGGTATTCTGAAACTGGAAAGTCAGATTCTGCAACTGGTATTCTGAAACTGGAAAGTCAGATTCTGCAACTTGCCTTCTGAAACTTGCAACTGGGGTGATCTCCACA